AGTCCTTCTCCACAAAATTACCTGAGCGCAGCGCATCTGCCCTTCCATCTGTTCCCTATAATCCTGATTTGAGAGCAGTCTTCACTCCCCTTCCCGGACTACTAACACACCACTGCTAACCCTCACATCCTGGTATCTGTTCCTTAATTCATCTCTCTGTCCTCCAAGTCCCCCATCATCCTCGCTTGTAAACTACGCCCACTCGTCCAAGACATGATCACTAGCTCATAACCGTCTGCCGTACCACCAGATCTGGAATCTCTAGCTTCCTCCATCTGCGTCTCCACTTGAGCCTCCGATCTCTCCTGGCCCCATCGCCTTCTACTTGGATATATACCGCCCATCGCCTCCTCAGTCAGCCATGTCCGAACCCACTGAAACAAGCGCCCGCTCCCTAGCTCTCACCATCAAGCAAGAGCAGCACCAAGGAGACACCACTATTAACTCACCATCGCCATCTGATAGCAAGCATCCCAAGTCATCACAGTCGTCGGATGACTGCAGTCAAACTTCTGCGCCTATGAGCCCGCACCCTCGTCTTGGAACAACCACGAAGACGCCATCTGGACCCCACGTCGGCTCCTCCCGCCCTAGACCACAGTCGACAACGCGTCCTACCAAGATGCTGTCGCAAGCCCAATCCGTCCATTACACCCGGACGGGACGTGTTAGTAAGGCGAAGAAAGGATTGAAAGTCCACAATTGCGAGTGCGGCAGGGCACGTCACACTCATTCATCCTCTTTGGTGCGACATTGCTGACCTTTTCCAGGCGTATACACGAGCAGAGCATCTACGACGACACCAAAAGAATCATGCTCAAGAGGATGCTTTATCGTGCGACTACGCCAACTGCAGTAAAGTATTCTACCGCCCGGACCTCCTGCAGAGGCATCAGGAGAGGCAGTGAGTACCCGGCCTGCTCAGAACGCCCCTCGTCACTAACGAAAGCAGTAATGACCCCGCACAAAGCTCTCATCAGGATGGATATAACTCTGCAGGGTCTCCAGGTTCGTCGCAATTCTCTGCGCCGACAACAGTACCAGCAAGTGCCGCAACAATCGCATCTGATCCGCCCCATTCGACCTCTCTGTATGCTTCACCTAGGCAGCATCCATCAACCATAACCTCAAGGTATAACCCTTTTCGTACTCCTTTGATTCCACGGACTCCTGGTCTTTCATCATCCACTTTCATTCTCAGTTCTCCTCCTACCTCTAGCCCCAAGTGAGTTTTCATTATGCGTGCCAGACTTGTTTCCTCTCCTTCTCTCCAGACTTACGTGTTCTGTTTGGTAAATGCAGCTACTGACTCTCAATGCTAGTCCGAAACATAATGCGCAGTTTGCGTCTCGCTCATTTGCGCCCGTCGCCATGACGGTTGATGGCATGTCGACTTCCGCTGGATGGGGGGAGCAGTTCGGCCAGTCACCCGCGTACTCATCATCCGACGATTATGCTTCTCCGCACCCCGGCCAAGGAGACTATGGCAACTTGTTCTCGAACTTGTCATGGAGCCATAGTGGCAGTCGCACGCGCACCCCATCCAATGCGTCCTTGCATGACCCGTGGGGGCCATACACTCCACAATCCCCGTCTTCATCGGTTTCTACGATGCCATATACTTGTCCACCAGTTCCCAGTCTTGCATACATGACTACTTCATATCCAGTGTCGAGTTATGGCATACTGGCAACTTCAGACCCGACGGCAGACTTTGAGCAGTTTGGTTCAAAAACCATGATGCGGAGGGACATGGATGAGGCTGGCATGCTGTTCCAGGATCAAAACATACGGTATGGGCCAACTCGCGCATACCTATCCGTTTGAACAATATCTAAACAATTACTGGAGGCACTTTCATCCCTACTTTCCCCGTCATCCATCAGCCCACTTTCGGAAGCATGGAACCATCACCCATGCTCTACGCCGCAATGATCGCCATTGACGGACAATACTCAAACGACACGAGTACGAAGCATAACGCGAGGAAGCTGCACGACACGTGCGTCAAGTTGCTCGAGAAAGTAGGTGCCATGTGCAAATCTTGATGGATTGGACTAACTCGATGCAGCGCAAACATGAGTCGATAGCTGAGCCTGACCGTCTGTGCGACTACCAGGCAGTCTTCCTAGTAGAGGTGCTCTCTCAATATCGCGCACGACGTGCTGCAAAAACATTGTCTCCTAGATTCGGCACGCTCTATCAAAAGGTAAGATAAGCGCGGGTAAATCACGCATTCACACTAATCACAACAGGCGGCCGAAGAATGTACACGCGTATCGCCGGAGCTTACCAGCATCGTCCTTTCTCTCGAGCAACCCGAGAACGTCGTTTTCGGAAACTGGATGCGATGGGTTGAGCGTGCCGTATTGGCAACGCTTGCTCACTTCTTGCTACGTGCTCGAGTCCCAGCAGGCTATGTTTCTGGCACGCGAGCCACATGAATCGCTGTTTCGACAGGAGGGCGTCGACCTCCCCTTTCCAGCTCATAGCTTGGTGTGGGATGCGACGACACTTGACGACTGGGCTGTTGCAATTCAGCAACACGCTTCATCACCACAACGCGTCTTCGAGGTCACGCAAGTACCTGTACTTGTACCCTGCGACCCTTTCCAGTCTTCCATTCTGATCGCAGTGTTCTACAACCGGTCTGAGATTGCTTCGCCGTATATCAATGCGCCGGTCACTGAAGACATTGACCACATTCTCGATCCTTCATTCACCACCAAGCAGAGGCTTTTGACAGCGAAGTTGCTGCAAGTGACTCCAATCCGCGCGTTGTTGGCAGTATCTGGCGAATCTTGGATTCTGTTCGAGAAGGTACCTTCTCAACAGGCTCAGATCATATTCAAAACGACTTTGCGTGCTTGGATCAACCAGATCTGGTCCGCTCCCGAAGGCGCTTCGCCGACTGTATCCAGCAAAGAAGCCGTGCGGCTTGCCATACAAATTCTACATATGGCGCTAGAGGAGCAGCCAGAGGATTCCGAGCTTAACATGGGCTCAGACATGGGCGTTTACTTTGCAGCTCTTGTTCTCTGGGCAGCTACTACTGCAGGATCCTCCCGGAAGAGTGTCTCGCGGCAAGTGGTACATCATATGCCCTATCGCCATCATTCGCAGCCGACGAGTTTTATCAACCACGAGTCAATGCTGGTATCGGCCAAGCCGCATCCACTGACGAGGTCGTTCCCGCTTCCAAACGCCGGCGGTATGCAGATGAGTTTGCCAAGCACAATGCCTAGCGAACCGCCGTCGCCTACTCGACATGACTCTCTCAGCGCTAGCACTTTGCTATCTTATGACCAGATCACTTTCAACACGTTATCGTTCCTCTCAGCTATGCCCGAGCTGGTTTCCCCGCCACACTCGTCACTGGATCTCGATGTTCTCCAATCGGGCTGTGTGAGTATGTTGCTCTGGGCCAAACTTCAGCTTCGTGGTACGTTCCTTGAGGGACAGACCGGTATGGCCATGTGGGCCGGCGCACCTGAAGACAGTCTTGGCGAGCTTTTAAACAGTGTCGTTGGCTCACTGGAAAGAATTCTCAACGGTGGTTGGACTAGATGGGGCATCTAGAACGATGCTCATCTGACCTGTTATTTCACTTGATCGGCCTCGCTTTTCAATACGTCTTCTTCATTTCATCTCTCATGGTTGCATGTCATAAACGTTCTTTTTCTCGGTATTCTTATGATACTTCTGCCAATGTTCGATAGCGCATCAGCATAGCACGATCTTTGGGTATGGCTACGATAATGATGTATACGATGGCATTTCGGTGTAGATGTGTGTCCTCTTTTCACCTCGAAGTTGTACAATTTAGATTCCTATTGCTCATCTGACTCTCCGCTTGTTGCCGTTATTTTTTTGGCATCTTGCATCTGCTCGATTCGCGATTCTTCTTATTGCGCATGTATGCACTTTTAGGGCAGGTTTTTTGTACAGTTGCTACGATGTGATCACGAGCTGCACAAGTCGGGGTTCGGCTCTAACTCAGAAGGGAAGCTCTTGCGTGCAGTGCTGACATGCATGATGCCGTACAGAACTATTTGCATGCATGTAGGAATTACATAAATTCGTCCTACTCTCCGAACCATTCGCTCTGTAGTATGTACTACATCCCTGCACCATGGCACACATCGCGCAATCCATTACTTCACTTCCATTCAACCACCCAGCACATAATATACTTCTAACCCTACCACGCACCGCGTCGCATTTGTTAGTTCGCATGCTCAACCTCCCGAACCAACCATCCCTCTCCCGACATCCGCGCGACGGTTACTTCTTCATGCCCTCGCTACAATACCGGTACCAGCACGATACTTACAATCGACCCATCGCTCAGTGGACCGATGAAGAGCATGAGGAAATGAACGCGACTATCCAAAACGACCTGACTACATGGGAGAAGTGGGTGCAAGACGCACAACTCGTCGGCGACGGTACGTTTGTCAAAGAACATATCAACTTCATGCTTCGACCAGACGCCGAGTCGGACTTCCTGCATACTTCTGATCAAGAGACGGAAGGGAATCCCACTTGCATACCAGACACGTTCCTGCAAGTCGTGCGCCCAACGTTTCTCATCCGCCATCCAGGCCTGGTCGTCCCCAGCCTGATGCGCGCCGCAATCGATCTCGAAGGTATGGAAGCTGTTTCATCGCCTGCGTCGGAGAAGGCTATGCGCTGCGAGGCAAGTTATAGATGGCATGTTGCGCTTTATAAACATCTCACAAATTTGGTAACCTACCCGTGCAAATCACACCACGCTGGCACCTTGTATCCGATTGTACTCGATGCTTCTGATCTCATCAACCCTGCGCTTGTGAAGAAGTACGCAGCGGCTATCGGATTGGACCAGAATACAGTACAGTTCAATTGGGAGAGTGGAAGTGCTAACAGCCTGGGAGGAATGGAGGCAAGGATGAAGGATACATTGTTGGGAAGTGAAGGGGTGGTGATGGATAAATTGGTAGGGCGCAAGCAGTTCCATATTGAAGAGTTTGGTGAGCAATACACAGAAGAGTTTGGAAGTGTGCTGGGAGCAAGGGTGATAAGACTAATAAAAAATGCGACAGACGACTATCAGTGGTTATATGAGCGAAGGATGCAGCTTTATGGGGCAGGGTAAAATGATATAAGTACGTGGAAGAAATGAATGGTGCGTTAAGAGATTGGAAACCATGCCTCCAGTCTTCACCAACCACGTTCTCACTCGTCTTATCTTGTACGAGGCAAAGGTTTCGAAACAATAAGTGATTAAATATTTAATACTGGTAAACTATTCGCTAATTTTTCAAACGGAGCCGTTCATTACAACTACAAGTACTTTTCGTTCAATTAGTTCTGAGAAGGGTTGCACTGTGGCTTCATGGGTGCGTTCTTGAAGTACGTCTTGTAGTAGACGTTATCACCAGTGTTGGCGTCCGAGGGAATCCTCGGTGGGTTCACTGGCCCACCTTCGCGCTGCGACTGAGGGAAGAGGACGTTAGGCGAGATTACGCTATCGGGGCAGCCAAGCGCAGTCTTGCTGAACAGCGGGTCAAGTACGCTCAAAGCCCACGAAACGCCCTTGGCGACGTTCTCCTCGGTGCCTCCGAGCACGAGGGGTGTGATGGAGTTGAGACCCTGGTAAACGTCGCAAAGCAAGGTCCGAGGGTTGAAGTTCTGCGTGCCAATCTGAGCAACGCCGGGAACAATGATGTTGCGGGGGTAGATTTGCAGAAATCCGTCGGCGAGTGTGGTGACTGCACCATATGGTGTCGCACGGCGGTACCAGTTCTCGGGCCATCTTTCAGGAACATACTTGAACTCCCCAGTCTTCTGGTCGTATTCAGCACCAATGATGCTCATGATGGACTTGTAGTTGGCAACACCTCCCAAGCCGTAAGTGCCGTTGGAGAAGAAGTTGGGGTAGAAGGCGAAGGCTCCCAAGCTGACGATCTGGGGGAAGGGGAAGTAGTACAAGAACGGGTTGTAGTCCTTTGAGAAGGTCGCGCTGCGGGCGTAGTGTTGAGCCATGACATTCATGCTGAACTCCTTCTTAGGGTCCTGCGCAGCAAGACCAACCATTTGCTTCACAAGGCGGGAAGACAGATGGTGGTTGTCACCGCAGCCAGTGTAGTAGTCTGTCGCTTGTCAGCCATGATATGGTGTTGAGAATGGAATGGACTTACCCTCGCGGTTGGGCGATACATCGGCCTCGACAACAGAGTGGCGGTTTAGTCCACCGATTCCGTTCTTTCCAGATCCAAGATAGAATGACAATCCATCAAGATCACCACTGCCCAAAACAGCGAAGGTGGTAAGGACCAAAGACAGATCTGTCGCCATGTTGAAGCCACGTGCGGTAGCTTCTAGCACCTGGCCTTGGTTGACATAACCGTCGCGAGGAAGGTACCCGTAGTTTGCAAGAAGGTTGAGACCTGGGCAGGGTCCACGGGAGTCGCCAGGGCCAGGTGCCTTGAACTCGTAACCGGGCTCTGGGCGCAAATTGCTCTTGACAACAATGGCCTCGCCGACAGAATTTAGCAATCCAGAGACAGTGTCACCGAGAGCACCAAGCAGATTGCCGACTGGGTTGAGAAGTTGGGGTTCAGCTTCACGCTTCTCCGCCTCTTCACGCTTGATTTCGGTACGGAGGTAGTCTTCAATTTCCTGGCGTGAACCTGCACCACCCATCATTCCAGGGTAGGCAGCAGCAAGAGCTGGCATAGCCAGTACGGCGGCTTGTGTGAACTTCATGACTGCAGGAGATGTGTACCCCAAAGAGACGGTAAGAGAAGTAGCGGTAGGTGGGTGAGTGAAAGAATTGTGGCAGCAGCAGCGCGGTACATTTATACAGGTAGTCCTTGGGCGTGCCTCGGAGTCACTGAATGGAGTGAGCTTGGTGAACATGCTCGTAGGACATCACATCGTGGTAAGATCTGCACAATAGTCGCCGAACGTATGCGGCCAAGACCAACAGCTGCTGTCGGACGACCGTGCAGTTGGAGATCGACGTGATGATCATCCGCCAGAGTGTTGTTGAGGGCTGAGCACTACTATGCAACCGTGTAGGATAGCAGCAAGACATCGAGCATGACGATGGCCCCGGGAGCCAACTCACGGAGTCGTCATTGTCATATTTACACCTAGGCATATCTATGCCAGGCCAATACCGTTGGCGAAGCACCAATATGGCGTGCGGATGTGATGCGAGACCGAGGTACTGTACTCCTAAGTGTAAGGCCACAAGGTATTTGCCGAGTATTCCATCAATAGCACTGAGTCGACAGGGACAGTGGGTCACAATGACAACAAAGGCGCGGTAATTGGGCTCACCGACCGGAAGTTGTTAATGAGACCCCTTCGACGAAAAGAAGATTCGATGGTCGTGCCGCCGCTAGGGTGTACTAGGCTGACCATAATCCTCATGCATGGCAAGCGAGCGTGGACCAGGGTTATGTCAAGCAGATCTCTAGGATCTAAGCTCGCATCGCTGGTGTCTTTTATCCCGCGTCGTGGGGTTCCGGTGAATATGACGTTGAAGCGGTCACTAAAATGTCGCGTACGCGAGACAAGCGTTGATAGAGGGTCCTGTTCTGTACCAATGGGCTGCAGCAAGCCATGGCCCCGAGATGATGAATGCCAAAGGAAGAGTAAGCGCTGGCTGAGTCGTGTCAGTTGGTCGAAAATCACATCGAGATCTTGCAAATCGTTCGGCACGGATGCATTTGGGGACGGACGAGTTTACCGAGTTTCACCACGTCGTTTCCCTAGTACAACGTAGTCACGATGTATATTTTCTTGCGGTTCGCTCGGTTGCGACAACATCAGCTTCATGTAACATCCAGCCCCATGTCAACAAGCGATCGCGGATACCAAAAGACGTGGAAACTAGTGCTCAAGCAAACATGGCAATCGGCAAAATAGGAGTAAAACTGAAGATGGCAAAGTCGGCCAGGCCAAGATCTCGATGCTTAGATTGAGGCTGAGATCGGCAACGCTAATCCACTGACGTAGATCCCGATTTCCTCGTTGCGCACTACGATTCTTCCGAGACCCGATTTAGCCCTAATGATCTAGTAGTCTGACTTAAAAGAGCGCTTGCATTCTCGATGAGGAAATATACATGATGCGATGTGGACGTCATCTCGTACCCGCAGCCGAGTGGTGTAGGTACCTCCGTACCGTCATGATGATCGACTGTGCACAGAGCCGTATATTCATCACGACTTTAAACTTTTGTGGCGCTCCAAACTCTTATTTAGACCTTTTCCAATAATGCACGTCGCTCAACAATTCCCAGCCAGTCGGCTGGGAGCTCAAGTGTTTGGGTGAAGACGGTGACGCCGCTTAAGCGACGTCAGGCGCGATGAGTGACGTCCTTCGAATGTTGATTTCATTGGGTATGGAAACCTGCCCCGGACGTCTTGGAATACAGGCCGAGTTTTTTTCACTACACTACAGCTTTATCATGCGTGTAGACTGCTTGTACTAGTTGTGGGTCCGATGAGGGAGCAACGATTGCACTGCTGTGACGGATTGCCTGCTGCACACATGGGCAACTCAAACTTACATTTGGAACAGCTCCCCTATCCTTCTTGCCACAAACCCGAGAGTACAAGCGGACCTCACTCCGCTATCCGGAGTGATCTTGGGGTTACAAGGACACCCTTCGATCGTTGTTGAACCTACGCAAAGATCACTTATTTGCGAGAATGCACCAGGGTCTGAGAACGATCATGGACAGACAGTTTGGCCTCATAACCACAATACACCCAAGACAGGTTGAATACTCTATCAATGTTTGCATCATGCTAGCTGATATTGTAATCGTGGCGTGTGTATGAGTCTCGCAGACGACTGCCGGCATAGTGCATCTGCAACATCCGGTTGTCTTGCACCTGCGCCATCTCATTGCATGCTTACCCAGCCCTTGGGCTATACAGAACAGGCCTTCGCAGCAAACAGAGAGAGTTTCATATGACTTCCTGATCAAAACCAGCAAGGATTTGATAATCTGCATACAGTATATTTTAAAGGTCAGTAATGACAGCGCCGAAGGCTCTTCTTAACTGCTCCAACTTCAGCGTGCATCCACAGAAGACTGTCCCACTGCACTAATTCCAAGCCCGATCTCACTGATATCGCTAGCTGAAATGTTTACAACACTCTTCATTCTCGCAAGCAATTCGGTGACGTGGAACGGTTTGCCAACAACATCGTCCATCCCCGCCGCCATAGCAATGTCGATCTGTTGCTGCCTGACATTTGCCGTAACGCCAATCACAGGAATCCTCTCCACTAGAACCCCGTCGACTTCCAATTGACGAATCTGCCTAACAGCCTCGAGGCCGTTCATAATAGGCATCTCCCAATCCATGCAAATGACGCTGAGATCGAGAGGCATATCGGCTTCGTCAATGTGATATGCCGGCGGAGGCTCCGTACAGGGTATGTGGTACGATTTGCGACGAGAGGTGGGATTTGGACGAGAGGAATTGTGATTCCAGTACTTCGTCCTCTCGAGGAAATCTAGTGCCTCCCGGCCGTGATTAGCTACGCTGACGACGCAGCCGAGGTTGCGTAGCTGCTTTGCGAGGACCTTTTGATTCACTAGGTTATCTTCAACTACGAGCACGTGCATCACTGGCAGAATTTTCGGGGCTGCTTTGGCCTCTGCTAAATCTGGAAGAAATGTTTGACCCGGCAATTCAACAGGGGTTTCCGAGTGGGCTAAAGATGACCGTCGGCGGAAGGTAGCCTGACGAATTAACTGCGGTGAGCTATTCAGACTCTTAATCATATGGGTTTGCATGCGTATTGGCGGCGGCGGTCGTGACATGTCAGTCAACGGCGTTTGGGGGCGATGCTTGATATCCTCGGGCAGGACACTGGGTAAACTGCCTTTCCGAACCATTGCGGGTATGACGCGTCGCGTTTTAATATAAAAGGAGAATGTGCTCCCCTTTTCAGGTGCACTTTTGAGCCCAATAGCACCGCCTTGCAGCTCAGTAAGTCGTCGTGATATGAAAAGACCAAGTCCGGAACCGCCATAGTGTATGTGTGTTCTGGGCGATGCCTGGCTGAAACGGTTGAAGAGTGAGCCTCTCTCAGTCTCAGAAAGGCCGCGGCCTGTATCAGCGACTAGAAACTGGAGAAAAAGAAGGCTGCAGTCCTTTTTCCAATCCTCTTTCAGGTGATGATCCTCCTCAACGAGTTTCTCTTCATTGAACGAAATCCCCTTAGGGTCGGATATGGGTGCAGTTATACTAGCACAAAGAGTTACAGTAACTCTGCGCGTTGCTTCAAGACGTGTAAATTTGATCGCATTTGTCAGAAGATTGATGAGAATCTAAGGCTGTTAGCCGAGAGTATCAAAAGCGTAATAGAAACTGTGAAAGCGAGCTGCGTATGGACTTGGTGACTAAATGTGCTCCCATCCTGCAATCTAAGTGACAGAGAAGTCTTCCGCTTACCTGTAGAAGTCGTGTGGGGTCCAACGACACCCAATTTAAGTCCATTTCGCGATATGATTGATCGACGGTATAAGACAGCTCCACACGCGCAGCCTTTGCCTCAGCGTCAAACATCTTGACAGCGTGCTTCAAGAGACTCTCCGGTCGAGAATCAACGGGGGTTATGACTAGCAAGCCTGAGTCCAATTTCGAGATTGTAAGGATATCATCAACAATGTGCCGCATATGCTGGGCGCATTGTGCTATCGTCTGAGCTGCATCTAAGGTCTGCTCCAGAAATACGGACCAAGCATATGGCGATGGTGGGACGTCAGCCTCGGCCGCGTAAGATGCAAGAATCCCGTCGGCGCTCTGCATAATTGCAGACAGTGGATTGCGCATCTCGTGTGAAGTTGTATCAATGAAATGCTCCAGGTGCTGTTTGGATTCCAGTGCAACGTCGGTCCTGATCTTCTGCATGTCTTCTGCCCATTTCTGTTTGGAGATGTCCGTTACGTTGCCAACAATCTCTACAAGTTCTCCCCTGCTGTCCAACTCCGGATACGCAGAGCAAAGAATCCAACGATGATGCTCCGTGGTTTCAGACTTGGGCTGAAGAAGATCCGGGGGCGGTACCCATGGCATTTTCGTTTTGAGTTCGAATGAGACTGCTTCTTTGTGCATTACCAGCTTTCCAAATATGGCTTCACATTTTGCGATATCCTCTGGAAATGCGATGTTGAGCCATGCTCCCATGGCGTCACTGTCGTCTGTAGCCACCTCGAACATGTCGTACCAGCGTTGATTGCGATAGGTATATTTACCAACAGAGTCCATGATGAAGATTGCAATATCTGCCCTCTCTGCAAATCTTTGGAATCGTTTTTCTTTCATTTGAAGTTCGGCGAGAAGTTGTTCCTGCATTTCGGCAGCGCGTCCGATCGCTGTTTCGTTCTCACGAACCTCCTCATCGAACAATACGACCGAGGCCAAGGAAGTCGCTAAAAGGCGGAGCATGACCTGCACGAATTTCTTGTATTCTTCGTCAAAGGGTCTTCGAGGATTGATTCCTAGAATCAAAAAGCCCTCGACCTGTTCGCCGGTGGTAGGGGCAAGAGGGCAAACAATAAGTGTTCTGCAAGGCTCACCAAATCCTTTCCAAACAATGCATCTTCGCTCATCTTCAGATAACTCGAGTTTGATCGAAATCCAACAAACTGTGGGCCTTCTTCGATTTGATCGCTTGCGTCAGGTATGGCTGAAAGGGATATGCGCTCCTTGCTGGATGTTGATGCGTAATGGCGCAATCGCGTGCTCCGCCTGTACGCCTATCGTGCCTCTAAGCAAATATGTTTCAATTGGTAGCAGACTGCCAGGTGAAGATAAGGATCCGACTTCGGACGCGTGTTGATCATCCGCTGCGTAGAGGAGCGCGAAAGGAACATCCTTGTCGTTGAGCTTCAAGGTCTGCAACGCGAGGTCCCAATAAGACGCCAGAGTTCGAGCCTTCGCGGTTTGGCTTCCCAATTCCACGAGGCTTGAGACACGGCGTTCTAGTAGGCTGTGTCTGGAACCGACCGTTAGTTTAGATCATGTGTGCGCAGTATGCATGACATACTTGGTCGTCTCGAATAGTGGATGGTAATATCCTGCAATATGCCCCTGGCAGTCTAGGACCGGAATGAACTGAAAAGACCAGTATGTCTCCTCCAGGAATCCATGCCTATCGATGAATATTGGTATTTCATAATCACACACAGATTGTCCAGTGTTGTTCATATGATCGATCAGAGGTTGGAAAGTATGCCAGTACTCACTAGCAAAATGTCGCGCGCTTTGCCCAAGGGCTCCAGGATGCATGATACCAAGAATCTGAACATAAGCAGCGTTGTATATCATTGTTAAACTTTCGCCCCAGAATAGCATGCATGGTTGAATGTCGTTGAGACACATGTTGACAACATTGCGCAACTCAGGCGGCCACACATTCATGGCCCCCAGAGGTGTATCAGCCCATTCGATGCTGCGGAAGTGTTTGATGTGGATCGTTTAGAATAGAATTGGGTGGATTGGAGAGAGTGACATCGTATGAAACACCATGGACTGGAGGCAGTCGTTCGGTGTTTTTTTTGCTGGGGCTATCATGTAGATATGGGTTAGGCGGTACGATGGGGGCTCTTCCTTGCACTGGCATGTTCAAGGGCCGGACTGGAACGCTTTCTAAGCGCTTTCCAGGCCCCGTATCAGGCCATAGCAGAGAAGCATAAAGACCACTAACAATCTTGTGGTCCTTGATGGTTATCGCTGTCCAGATCAGACCATCAAACATGTATGCATTTCCCCGTCGACAGAAGTCGTTCTCGTCTGATGTACCCCGCAGCCACTTGCGGAAAGCCTGTTGCGGCTGTCCATGTTCCGCGAATATGCTTGCTGCGTCTAGCTGTCCGGACACTCTGGCCAACAAGCCTTCGTTGCTGGTGAAAGCAGCATTGCAATATACCAGGTCGATGCACTCGTCGGCGTCGGATGGCTGGCTCGGTGGTGACTGTATGCGGATCGCAAAGGAGGGACGGTCGTCAATGTCGAGCGCGGCTAGAAGTCCTACAGCAGCCAAAACTTCACGTGAAGATTCGCGCTTCAGTTCGGGAATCGATCGGATGGTTCGCCTCGCTTGGTCCTCGCTCATAGCCCGGTGGTAACGATGTTCGCAGGCCGACGGCGCATTAGACGCGCTCGTAGCTGGCTCGACACGAGGTAACGACATGGCACATGGCCTTTGCAGCGTCAATGTGAGTGTCTATGTACATGGCTGCGAGGACCTGGCACTTTGCTCCGCACCTTCTGCGAGGCCAGGCGCGGTCGGGGTTGTTAGCTGGCTCTGGCTAGACATCTAGCGCAGCTGCCAGAACTGAACATGACGTCAAGCTGGCATAGAGTTTCTTTCCAGTCCAAATCCCGGAGATGCAGGATCATAACAGCAACGAAGAAAAAAGTCAAGTCATGTTGTTGCGCGTGACCGTCTATTCATGTCCATGTCGCCCCCAGATCGCTCAGCCACGCGGTTCCCCAGGTCTGAGCCATGGGATCGACAGAAGCAGCCTAGCCTCGTTGCGTTAGCACTGGCCTCTGGAGGCGAAAACAAGCTTCTGAAGCTTCTATGAAGCGAATATACTCCCTTGCCTTGAGACACTGCACACTCAACCGCAACGCGCGAAGACCGCGTCTGTTTATGAACTTTCTGTCTCTAGGCTAGAGCAAGGTTAGCCATCAACGACATCTGAATACACATCTTAGAACATGGCGTCCCATGCATTCAGCCCTACTCATTGGTGCTTCCCGGGTAAAATGGCAGGCCTGACACTACTGGCGTACCAAATGATCATCGTGGGGCAGTGAAGGCAGGCGAAGCAGTCTGCGCCTTTGTTCACAATTCACGCTTCAGAGCTTGAAAGCACTACTTATGGGCCACGATAACCCCTACAGACAGGCTCAGTCCACAGTCCCATAATACACATATCTCACAAGAAAACACACATTTCACAACCACATCAACCTCCGTAGTCACATTCCAACTACAACATGGACAAGGCACACGAAGCATCATCTGAGAAGAGCCATGCAATTTCGCAAGACGCCGCCCCTGCCTACGACGCCGCCGACACCTCCCACCCACCAACATACGACTCACTTTCCTCTGCCGTTCACGGCGAAATGTCCGCCCTAGCAGTCGGCGATCCATCCGAAACCATATCCGTCCCCATGGTCTCGCGCATGCACCACAAGTCCATCCACGACATGAACCCCTTCTCCCACAAGACAGGCAGAGTGACGCAAACCGTCACTGTGCGCAAAATGACACGCGAGTTTTATTTGAAGCATTATGTCAAGGATGCAGAGGGCAACTTTGTTGGGACGGGCAGACAGGCTCCTGATGGCGGGCTGGTATTTGTGCCGGGCAAGAGTACACCGGAGGACTTGATGAAGCAAGTGCAGCAGGTTGCATTTGCGCGGCAGAATATTCGGGGCGAGGGGATTGGACCGTATGGATCTCCTCAGGCACTGGGTGGAGCGGGTGGTTCCATGATTGGGGGAGCGATGGGAGGAAGCATGGGTATGTGAGAGAGCTGGTTCCATGCATCAGGATCTGCATCTGTTTAATTGATTGTAAACTTTACTTGTAAATTATCATTATGCTCACTGTGTTTGCTTCCACAGCCCGTCATCACATCAGATGCGGAATTGCCTGGCGTCTTTGCACACTAATCTTGCACAATTGTCAAATCGACGAATGCATTTATTTCCATTCATCATAAACTATATACGCAGATTTCCCTCCTATCCTATTACTCCTGTCATCGCTCATCGCTCATCGCTCATATCGGCATGAAGTCATCACAGCCTCATGCCCCAAGCCTATGCTAACGCGACCGAATATGTTCACCCAAAAAACTATAATCAAAATGGTATCACAAGCGCGATTTTTCTTTTCCGTATATTTACTCTTTCCCGTCGTTTTGACTTCCTTGGCTAGATAGCCTCGGACGTTGAAGCAAGGCCGGCCGTTACGTTCCTAGAAGATTTCCGAGTCGAGGCTGCTACGGTAGGATTGCAAAGATTCCTCGTCATCTGACATAGGTGTTAGCTTCGGGTATGTAAAGTTTGGCAAGCTTATCACAACGTACCAGCAACAGGCTTCCTGCGAATGACGGTATCAGAATACTGCAGACCCGCCTGTCCACTTGGGCTTCTGCTTCCCATTGGCCTTGGCCCTGTGATCTTGCGCTGTGGGCTGTTCATCGCCGCGTTGGCACGGAGGTGCTGGCTGCTTGGCCTAGGAGAAGGCGTGGGCGTGGCTTGGATCTGGATGATATTAGGACATGGTGTATAGTTTTCAAGATGATGTATAGCTTACGCGATGGCCTCTATCGGTCTCAAGCGAATATCGCACCTCTGCAATGGGTGCAAGTGGTGTCAAGGCACCCTGGCTTCCAAACTCGTTGGTAGAGCTGTACATCTGCCTGGTCTGACCGTAGCCAGCAAGAGGCTGCTGGGGTGGGACCAGGGGGCCATCATCTGCAATCTTTGGCGGCCGGGGTGGTGCTTGCTGCTCCGAAGCCGAGTGCTGGCTATATCCGCCATCAGAATAGATGGGTGACATGGGTCCCTGCGGCGCGCTGCCGGCAGACATGCGATTCCGAGCCAGGGCAGGCATGCTGCCCCACTGGTCATAGTCGGGAGACGAGAGAGGCTCATAGATCTGCGCCTGGGTCTCGAGGTGGTTCTGGTGACGGCCAGTCGGGCCAGCGCGGGGCTGGGGGTGTTGCAGGTTCAACGAGTTGCGGTGAGCCTGATACTTTGGGTCTTCCATCTCATACTGGAGATCGTCATCATCGGGGATGAGAGGGGAAGGAGACCGTGCTGAGCGGATTGAAGCACGCTCTTCCCTGGCTAAAGAGGTGCTGGACCGGAGCCTGTCATCATTACGCATCTCATATGGCTCGTCGTCGTAGTACTCGAGCGACTGCCTTGAGCCAGATCTGGAGTGGCTGGAGTAAGGTCGCTTCTCGCTGGAACCGCTGTTGCGGGGCAGAGTCTCAGGATTGGTGGATGATGTAGTCTTGGACCATCTTGAGATCTTGGGAATGCCAAAAATTGACGAAGTATTAGACTTGTGCTTTCGCTTCGGGGTGTTGTCCAGGCTCTGTGAATCCCGCATCGCTCTAGAGGCCTGTGGTGATTCTTGTGACAACTTCCTCTCGTGGTACACTTCTTGCGTTGGCGTGGTCATCCGCTCAGTGTTCTCGTATTGAGGTTCGCGCACATCGCGCTCGTCGTACTCCTCATCAGAAACCTCCTGAACAGTGCTAACACGGTTGGTAGCTGGAACATCGTAACCAGAATGCAGGTCCTGGATGCGTCGCGCGGACGAAGGGTTGGACAGGTAACCTGATTGATCGGGAGATGAAGCAGTATTGGCGCGACCTTCCGGCTCGTAGCCAGCATCGCCGCTGGCTCGAAGGTTCTCATACGAGGTCATACTGTTCGTTCGAGCGTGCTGATCCAAAGACTGCTGGTTGACGTGCTTCAAGCCCTCGACCTCGTCGAGCAGCTGCATCAACATGTCTTCGATGTGTTTCATGTCGCTGCCACCCTTCATAGTCAGGCCCTTTAGGGCACGTTTGAACATGCTCTTCTTCTTCGTTTCGACATCTATATCTTCTGAAGATGATCGGTTGGCTCTCGGCGAGCTCATGGGCTGTGGTCGAGGTCCACCCAAGATTCGTTGCTCAGCGAGTCCGACTCTCTTGTCTGTGGTTCCCATGATCATGTTGTCCTGGACCTTGATGAACTGCTTTAGGTCATCTAGCTGGTTGCGCATCTCTGCCGCACTTCGGACTAGAGTAACAAGGATCTCGGTATCGCGAGCATTACGCTGCGCGTCGCGAACAGTGAGATGGTCCATAAGTGCCACAATGTCCTTGGATTGAATGCGATCGATACCTTTGCCGGTCGCAGAGTCGTACAAAGGCGAGGCCATGCCATGAGAGTTGCCGCTCTGGTGTCTAGTGTGTTTTCCACTCGTAGCAAACAGGTCAGGGGCACCAAGACCCGATTCATCGTAATCATCACCAAGCCCGTCATCGTCAAAGGACTTGGTGTGATTGCGGCCTTGCGGCGTGTAGGCTTCACGTGCGTTAGCCGACTGGTACCCTTCGTCCCTCCAGCCTGTTGCATTGGACACAGGAGTACGGTTGCTGTGGGCATAGCCAGACTGTTGCTCGTATTGAGTCTCACCTCTGTAGTCTTGGTCGTATTCATCCTCCACACTGGGTTGACGTCTCTCATCGTAACTGACAGGACTTTGATTGTTCTGGAGATGGTTTGCTGCGGCGGCAGCAATAGCAGCAGCGCCAGCTCCAGCACCCATAGCGCCGCCTTTGCTGAAAGACGTCGGCGTGCGCTCACGTTCTTCCTGACGGCTCAACAGATCGTCGGTCTGATCGTGGAAGCCATCTCCAAGAGGTCCTTGGATAATAGATGGGTTGGTCGTAACATCTGAGTCGTTGTCGTCATGCACGCCATATCCTATCTCTGGCATCATGTGGCCATCCGTAGGGAATGCACTATGGTGCATTTGTGGCTGGTCATCGATTGATTGGGCAATGCTCTGCCTGGGAGAATTCTCCGCATTCACTTGGTGGTGTAAAGCCTCTGCTTCACCACGGATGGCAGCCCATCTCTGACCACTGGGCACCTCGTTCTTTTGCAAGATGGGGCCTGCCGAAGGGCTTGGACTAACTTGGGATAACCGGCTTTTCTTCAACGGGCTCGATACAGCCGAAGAACGCACACTGATCGTGGAAGGGTCGTGAAGAGAAGCAACCGCCGATTCCACTGCGAGTGGCGTGTGCACGTACTCGGGAGTGACACCGACTTTGCGGACATCTTCAAAGTTGGCCTTGTCTTGGTAATCCAGGTATTGGCCATCGGCGCTATCGTCGGTGTAGTTAGTCATGCGGTTGTAGTTGATGCCTGGGGATGCCTGTGAGCTCTCCTCTAGCTCCCTTCGATAGATTTCATTTTGCTCGTGGTTCTTTTCGAAAAAGTCCTCGGCATCGCGCGGAGTCTCTGAATCTCCAAGCACCGATCGCTTGCTTTCTAGAGTGATGCCTTGCGGTCGCTTTCGTGTCCGTGCTGCCTTGGTGCTCGCCGTGGATTCTAGCGAACCAATGGAAAGATTTGACTGTGGGCGATGTATCGTTTGTCCGAGAGAAGACACTGATGCCCCACTATGGTATGATCGCATATGGCGAGGCGAGCCAGTGGCATTGACCTCTTCGCGATAGCTCGCTTCACTTTGGATTGGACTAACTCCGCGATTCGAACTGTCCTCGGCAATTTCAAACTGTGATGCTTGTGGGTCAGAGCGCTCGATGGCACGCGCTTTAGCGGCAGCGGCAGCTTGCAAGCTTGCATTGTCAGTCTGCTCCCTTCTTGAAAAGTAGCTGCGATCGCTCTTGGGTGTGATGGTCCGGATCTCGCCAACCGAGCGATTGCTGTGCGCAGTGCCCATCGTCTGTTGCAAAGCATTTGGAGTCCGTGTTGGCGTGCGCGGTGCAGGGGAGAGGATGCCGCGGGGTACTTCTTGAAGTGGTGTTTCGACACCCAAGCTCCTGTCCACTCCAGTGATGCTGGCCGAGCCATTGATCGAGGACCGTGAGTCTCTCGACTCGGGCCTTTTCCTTGTGTCTGTCTCTGCGGACAAGATCGAGTCGCGAGTCATTTCAGAGCCGCCTATGAGCTCGCTATGATTGAAAGGGAGCGGCGGGACGGGCTGCTTCTTGTACACCTCTTCCACACTCTCGGAGATGCTTGCTGAACGACTTCTGCTGCTCCGAGAAGAGTGGCGCTTTCGATGCCTCCGCTCCTCTTCCTTCTCTTCATACGAGGTATGCGACTTCAACGCTGCAGCTGTAAGACCGGCACCTGCCAGTCCTGCCAGAGCTTGGTCTCTGACAGAGGTCGAGCTAGACTTGTCCTTGCTCTTCCTTCGATGGCTCTTTTCAGTCTTCTCACGCGAAGTAGAGTCAGCATAGCTTCGCTGAGACTCGGAGCCACGGCTTGATCGACGCTCCTTGCGGATGGAGTCGCCGGAAAGCACAACGCCAGGCTCATCGCCGTGGCGGTTCAGTACGACCTTGGGCTTGCTGCCGTGGAGCTTGGGAGCGCTCGAGGATTTAGATGGCCGGCGTCTGGATGGATCACGGGAACTGGCAATGGAGTCGTCGTAGTTGATGCTGTCGCGGATGTCTTCACGTGACATGCGCTCAAACTTCTCTCGGTTTCGCGAACTCTGCCTGTCCTCCTTCAGGGCATTTAGCTCGGGTAAGATGAGGCGCTTGATTGCATCTTCGACGGTGGCGAGCAGTTTTGGGTTCTGGATGGAAGAGGTGCCAGAGACGGCAGAGCGCGATGAGTATGCGCCGGATTTCCGGTCTGCATTGGACGACAGGAGGCTCGACTCAGTGCCGCTGACTTCCTCGACATCCTTGCTCCTCCTTCGGTGCGATCTGCGGGGGGAGGTCAACTCCTCCTTGGTCGTCTTGCGGGACGACTTGGCGGCGGCGTCGTCTAGAGCCTGCTGCTGTTGCAGCTTCTCCATGACACGCTGAGTGATGCGGTCCTTGCTCAGGCTTCGACTGCGCTGGTGCTTGGGCGCCTTCAAGGTGGCGCGCTCCTCGGCAGCCATGGCCTCAGCCACAGTCTCTCTCTCCAAGCTCCGGCTTCTGCGACGGCCGGGAGGCTTGATTACTGGGGCGCTTCCTTCAAGCATGCTGTCTGGTGGCATGGATGAAATGTCGGATGCCATGATCTGGAACCGTCCAGCGCCGTTGCTCGAGACGTCGCTGGTGTTCTGCAGCACTTCGATCTCTACGGGTGGCAGAGACGAAACGGTGGATGCTTCTGAATAAGTCTCGGCGGTGCGAGTGTCGATGATGTCGTCGCGGGGCTTGCTGCCGAGCGAGATGCGGCGCGTGTACGACGGCTTGTGGGGCTGGCGACTCGTCTGGGTGATTTTGACGTGGTCGTTTGCGGTGGTGGTGTTTTTCCGAGAGGATGGGGTGACTCGCACGCGGACGCTGGGGCGCGAGCGGACCTTGCCCCTCCTCTTTTCCGGCCTCGAAGTACTCGATGAGCAGCGAGGTCTGCGAGGGGAATTTTTTGTGCAGTGTGCCCTGGGGCTTGGTGGTGTTGGTGGTGTTGATGGTGATGGGTGTGCCGTCTTCGGGGACCGAGTAAGAAGTCTTGTCGGTGCGCGTAGAGACGTTGGTTTCGACGTCTGTACGGAGATATGTGTCGTCTGCGGAGTCGAGAGTCGAGGGTTCGGTGGGTGCTGGGAGGGGGGGTCTCTTCGTGGCCAAACTCATGGTCGAACCGCGAGGGATTCTAGAAGGCGGCGTGGTCGGTCGACGACATGGGCGCGGATGTTCGTCGAGCGGTCACTGGGGGTGCGGTGGTGGGCGTACGCAAAGGGGAGGACAGGTCGCAGAACCGTTGCGCTGCCTGGCTGTCTCTGGGTTGCGCGACCGGGAAAAGCTGCGGGTACCACGGTAGAGCAGGCCGTGGGCGCACGCTTGGGGCGCGAAGAGGGTGCGGACGTGTGATGAAGACACCGTCTACGGGCGCATAGCAGGTGCAAAGACTGCGTGCAGCGGGCGTGGATGCGACGAGTCGGGCGGGTGCGTGCTGGGCGCGCGGGCGACTCGAAGAACGAGAGCTGAGGTGCTGTTGTTAGCTGTCCGTCCGCCGATCCTACAGTGAGTGCACTGCGCTACACCACGCTAGATTGCGCAGCTCGAGGACGTACCGAGGCCAGGAACAGCCGCTGGGAAACGCGTGTGTAGCGTTACAATGGCTACAAGCAGGGCCGTCTGTCTGCAGTGAAGGGGGACTGCCCGTCGCGATGTCGTCGCCGTAGAGTGAGAGCTTGCACGGCCAAGGTCTACTACCACTCTAGCGCCCAGCCTTCCAGGTGATCGAAAGCCCAACCAACCCGAGGAGACACGCTCCTTCGCCCGGTAGTCAGATTAATCAAAGAGAAAAGAGATGCAAAATGGGAACATCAGGACGTCGGCGCTACACCTCACGGCCAGATTGTCTCGCTTGCTATTTTTTTTCCACAGCCTCCCCGTATCCAAATGCCAAATGGGACAGGACATCATGACTTGTCGCTACCAGCCACCTCGTGCTGCACCACCACACTCCACCAAACAGCGTGCTCCCCATCCCTCGTGGACCCAGCGAGCTATGCAGGAGCTGCACCAGTGCTGCAAAATGACCCGCTTTGCAGCCAGTAGCCAGTAGCCAGTAGCCAGTAGCCAGTAGCCAGTTTGCAGCGCCGCTGAGCGAGTAGCATACCGTCCCGACAACTGTCCCCATCCCCATCGCCGTGTCCGGCAGGTGGCTGGGACCCCGTCTTCCTGCTTGTACTTCCCCAGCCTCGTCTCCTTTGTCCATCTCTGCCATCCAGCTATCCTCCCCAACACCCCCTCCGCAAAACACAACAGACTTACTTCCCTTCACCGCTACATCGCTCCTGCACTCCAGGTGGACGGTGCCCTCGTCATCGTCCCGTCTTGGGTGCGCGCTAACTGTTAGTCTACGTTACCAGGGTGATGTTGCCGAGCGCCCGCCGGCGGACGCTTCCGCTTGTCGTTTCCGCGGCTCCACGCCATCATTGGCTCATGGAGCTTTGGCCTTGCCAGCGCATCGCCCATACAATCACTTTAACTGCGGAGTGGTAGGGCTGCGTGCGGGAACCATGTATCGAATTATACGCCTAGGATGCTATACACATGTTGCGGAGCATTTGTTGCGATGAGGTGGCAGGCCCTGACCTCGCGGAAAAGTGCCTTCTAGGCCTTCAAGTGGCTGCACGCAAAAAAGACGCGAGGCTGTTTCTTCACCGGTGTTGCGGCGTGCCGCCGACTCCACGGCACTCACGTTTGTTCACTGACTGTGCATTTCTTGCATTTCTGCATCTGCAATTAAGCCGCGAACAGCTGCATCAACCCCGATGCCTAGTTTTAGACTGCGCCCGAAACGCCATGCACATGCTCGTCGTCACCTCCGCACAACTAGAACCGTTTGTTCGGTTTCATTGGCCTTCTTCCTTGCTGCGGCTGACGTCCATATTCTCTCCGTCCCTCGACCTTCTTATCTCTGCTCAAACTCGCGCCAAGCGAGATGTCTATCCGCGGTGGTGTCGAGAAACCAAAGCTCTTTGCTACCTTGACGAGATCGAGCTTGTGCACATCGAAGACGGAGCGCAGACTGTGTGATGCATACGCTTGCAGATAAGATCGATAGCCGTCCTTGGCAGACTTGTTGAGGTAGTAGTTCTTCGTAATGAGCGCCTCCAGTTGGCTCTGAATGTCTGCAGAGCTGTTAGCGTGAACCACGTTTCAAAAACCGCGCCTAGACTTACTCAGAATCTTGTTTGCTGGTAACTCAAATTCCACCAACGGCACCCTCGCCTCCTTGAGCAGCTTCAAGAAGCCAATCTCGGACGGTAACAGGAACATCAGACTCCGTCCCTTGCCCTCTGAACCTCTCGCTGTTCGACCGACACGGTGAATATAGTCGCGCGGGTCATCCGGAGGGTCGAACTGAATCACCCAGTCTACCTCGGGGATATCCAACCCTCGTGCCGCAACATCTGTACAGATCAAAGTTCCAGACTGTGCATTGCAGAACTCGAAGAACCTATTCGTCCGGGCCTGTTGCTTGAGCTTGCCGTGTAGCTCCAAGACCGGTAAATCAATGTAGTTGAGCAGCTCGGCGTAGAACTTGACCGAATTACAGCTCGAGAAGAACACAATGACCTTCTTCTTCTGGTGCTTCTTGAGGAAGCTGAATAGCAGCCTGAAGCGTGTGTCCGAGTCGCAGATGACATACCCTTGTTCAAGTCCCTCCACAGTCGAGTGCTCTTTCCGGTAGTCCACGTTGATGTACAACGGGCCGGCCTTCAGTGATATACGCGCAAGGTCCTCGACCTTCGTGGTCTGTGTCGCGGAGAAGAGCATTGTCTGCCTGTCTGTGGGAAGAATCTTGATGATACTCCTCATTTCGTCTTCAAATCCGACTTCCAGAATACGATCAGCTTCATCAATGATCAAGCTCTTCAAATTCTTGAAGACGAAGCCTTGTGTGTTATGCAGGTGGTCTAACAGACGTCCGGGAGTCGCAATAAGCAGATTGACACCCTTAGCCAGCTTCTCAGCCTCTGCTCTCCTGTTTGCGCCACCAATGACAATGCCAAAAGTTTGCGAGTGCTTCTCCATGAGCTCGCGGGCGACTCCGAAGATTTGTAGAGCGAGTTCTCGGGTAGGGGACACGACAATGACACCGGTACCGTTGCGCGGCTTGAATCGCATGGAAGACAGCATCTCGATGGCAGGGATCAGGAAAGCAAGCGTCTTTCCGCTACCAGTCTTTGCGGCTCCGAGTACGTCCTTTCCACTGTTACTGCGTTAGCCAACTTTCTCTGGTCGATGTATGCGCGCATTACCTCAGTAGTGGTGGAATCGCCTTGCGCTGGATCTCCGTCATACTTTCGAAGCCCATCGTCTTGATGGCCTCCATTGTACGCTCGGACAGGTTCAGCTCGTCAAAACGGGTCGGATCGTCCACCGTGGGTATCGAAGTACCAGAGGGCAGGTCTGCTACTGCGAGTGCGTTGGCGCCACTTCCAGCCGCATCCTCATCTTCGTCCTCATCTTGAGCTGCCTTGGCTTTCTTTGCCTTCTTTGCCTTCGCGGCAATCTCTTTGAGCTCAGCGTTGACTTGCTCCTCGTCTTCCTCAGCGCCGCTCTCTACATCATTCTCAGACGCATCCGCTACAACATCTTCCACTTCAGGCTCAGGTGTGTGCTCCTTCTTCGACTTCTTGCGGGGTTTCTCTACTGCTGCTGCGCCATTGGTATGCGCTTTGACGGGCTCAGCTTCCTCGCCCTTCTTGGCCTTGTGCTTGCGCTTGCGCTTCTTCGAGTCGATGTCGGCGGCCGTCATTGTGAATGCTGGTTTGTGGTATGCAACTGCGTGGAAATGGGCGTGTCGCAGGTCGCGAACTTTTCGAGAAGCTAAGAAAAAAGTTCGGTGGAGTCGGCACTTCGCGCTGATTCGCTGACAGGGCCCACCTAGCGCGCCATCACTGCCCTCGGCATCTGCTTTCACCATCAACAGTGGAATCCGACATTCTCGAGCCTGTTTTGCCCAGTGGCTTTGCCGTTTTACTGTTATTTGCAAGACATGGCTCCTCTCCATGGACTACGTGACGCCAGCTGTGTTTGGATATGCCTCAAAGCACCCCAGCCCTCACTGATTCGCTATCGGGAACGATCTATTGTCAAGTCCCAAGATGGGAAGGTAGTCGATTCAATATGCCCTTATTTCGTCGGCAGTTGTTAGAATCAATCAGTCCCGCAGCTCTTGGATATGACGTTCTAGCCTTCCCGCAACATTGTGAAGTGACGTTCTAGCGCTCCCACAGCATCGAATGTGATGTTCTAGTGGATCAACAGAGCATCGGGTGGAAACAAGATTACCAATCAACCATGCCCCTCAAGAGACATAGATATACATATGAGAAGTGATATTGTCTTGATTACCATTACATCAACCTGCAACTTCGCATACAAGCAGTTCGGTGTCCAAACAACGAGAAGTCGGCACGATGGTACCCAAATTGTTCCTGTGAGAGAACCGTCCCTTCAGAATTCTTGCCATCTGACCGAATACAGTACAGGAGGAACCGGCCACATCGGCGGCTCGGTTCTGCACACCATCTACACAGCTCATCCAGAGTGGTCCATCACTGTCCTACTCAGACGCGTCCCAGAGACCTTCACAAAGTGCTACCCAAACGTCGCCATCATCCAGGGCGACTTCGACTCCTCATCTCTCCTGTCCACCAACGCAGAAGCAGCCGACATCGTCATCCACTGCGGCGACTCAGACCACGAGAACAGCCTGAACGCATTACTATCCGGACTCCTTAATCCGTCGCACACCAGGCTACCTCCTGCATCTCAGCGGTACAGTG